TATACCATACATACTTAAATGGAATTAATTGAAGGGGGCCTACATTGTCTCTCTTGCGTCCACTTAAAAAAAAGTCAAGTTCAAGAAAACCCGAGGAATTTCAGAGAAAAACGCCACAACATTAATTTCTTTCATTAAAAATTCGTTAAAAAGATAGTGATTATTTGTTTAATAAATTACTGAAAAAGTTTTAATAAATTATGTCCCACTTAAGTAGTACCATATTTTTTATTTTTGCTTTATAGCTTAATTGTGTTATAAAGATTAAATACTTAATAAATACGAGTTACGGCGGTTTATGCAGCTCTCAACTATAATCAAGATTTTATTAACTTTCAGTTTACCTTATTAACAATGTTTATGAGAGCAAATAATAAAGATTTTGTACTGTACGCACGTTTTAAGTCGGTGTGTTGTGCTTGTCGATAAATTGTGTCTGAAATTTAAAATACAAAATTTTTTACCTCTTTTTAAACATAATAAATAAGTTCTAAAAATCAAAATTTCTAACAGTTTAATTATAGTATTTATAGAGTAAACATATATAACGTTTGTTTGGAGTGTGCGGAAGCTCAAACGTATGGCTATGTCGAATTTAGCAACAGTCAAGTTTAAGTGCTGAGCCACTCATCATCGACAATCACGTATTAATTAGATATTAATTAGATTAGATATATCTTATCTTGCTAAAATGTCTACTTAAATAAAACACTAATACCCAGCATTTGTAGAATACCCAGAAAAAGGAGAAATAATTGAGCATTTTTGTCATAACCCAACTTTTTGTTAGATCAGGTAAAATTATTGACTGTATGATTTACTAAAGTAAAGAGGTCAAAACCCTGTGTATGGAGATTACTCGAAGATATAATTAAATGGCTTATAAGATCAGCGATATGCAACGGAAGTTATCGATCTAAGTGAGATGGATTTGCAATTAATAGTATCTGCATGATCTATACTATATATTTATTTAATATGATTTCTACTCGTAATGTATTCATTTAGATTGCCAAAGTATTTTGATCCAAATCTAACCAATGATGATCAGCAATTGCTGCTTTTAGTTTAGAATGTATGTATTTTATTTCTAAGAGTTCCAAATCAAAAGTCGTTCTTGATCGATTATTTTTTTTCTATTTACTTTGCAGATGAAGTCTATCATGCAAAGTTATTGTGATGACATATATTTATTTATATGAGTATAAATATGTTAAATTTCTTTTTAAATAAATAATAAATGATTTATGGATGTTTGTTTCAAAAGTGTTGGTCATCATTTTTTGTTAATTAATAAATTTGTTTCCGTTAGATCCATTCAGCCATTGAATTTCACCCATTAATTGGGTAAATTAATATGAATTGGTTCCTCAATCAAAGTAGGTTAATAGTGGCACACAATTAATAATTTGTTTACGAAACAAATAATTTATAAATGAATAAATTAAAACAATACTTTAAGAGAATAGAGAATATTAAATAAATTGACATGAACTAACTTAGAACCTCAATAAGAGATGCCCAGCTATCCACAAGATGGTGAGAAACAATCGATTATTTATATTTACACACATTTGTTTATTACGACTGGCATTGTGCAATATTTTGAACTTCAACTAAATATAATTATAATAAAATAAATTTCTTAACTATCAACATGCATTTTACGCATATTTATATTTCAAAATAAACAGTCTACCTATTGAAATAACATTAAATGGCAATGTTAATTAAACTAATTTAAATATTTTAGTTTAATATGTAAATAATTTAATGCAAAAATTTTTTTAATTTTTTCACTATTGGAATACCTATGAACTTCAGTTTGTATAATTATCTATGATCTGTGAAGTATTTACTCGACCCTGAATTACTCGTATATACCTACACAGCGATAGTAGCAACACTATTTTTTGTGCTCAGTTGCTCAGTATTCCACGGTACAAATAGTGAAAAATCTCTCCAGAATGTCGGACTGAGAAATTTTAAATAGCGCAATATTATCTTATCTCAAAAATGGGTGTCAAGGTTTAGTTGGAAGTCATTAGTAATGCGTTGCCTGCTTTGTAGGTATATAAGAAATTGCGTGGACAAAGAGTGAGCTTTCTTTCTGTACTGCACTTTGTATCACGCGGAATAGTTCCACTGAACGACCAATTGTTTTGGTATACCGGAATTATTCAATACGTAATTCAATCGAAACGTGTTCTTTCGGTTCAGTTTATGAGTGAAAAGATACCGAACTTTGTGCACTAATTTAGTTTATCAATTTTATTTGTTTAAGATTAGTTAATAATTTTGCAAATTATCTAATTAAAAACTGAAAATCAATCGTTGATGATCGTTTTTTTCCGTTCTAATTTATAGTACAGATTATGAGTACGCTTTCATTTGCTTATATATTTAAGTACCATATCTATATACATTATAAAAATGCTAAAGTCATTGATATTTTTATAAGCGAGTGAAATGTTTACATATATAGGTTATAATATAAAATTTTTAACTGGGTAGATACCATAATGGTTAAGGAACAACTCAAGAATTTAACAAATACGTAAGTGTTATTATACATATGTTAATATATAACGAAAGTATTATATGATCAAGAATTCGCGGATGTTCAAGTACTAATAGTATTTGCTTTTTGTGAAATAAAGGCAATTCCGGAGGCGATACAGCTAGAAATTATATGTAATCTAACTGGAAGCAGGCATTGTTACAAACACGACTCTGGTGAATGAGTAACGTGAATTGTATGAATGAAGAGGAGTCTTAGTCTTAGGAAAGTCTTTTGTTGCAGATTTTATAGTAAACGGTACTGAGGAAAATTGTACCTAATGTAAAAGAATGGCATACATCAGAACCACCGGAATCTTGGGTTGCGCAATTAGATAATATTGCCTCGCAATTGGAATCGGTGGAAAGATTTGCTTAAGGAGGCCAAGACTGTATCGGCTGTTTCGAATTCTGTCAATTACTAAAAATCTTTTTAAAAGTTTACTTATTGTCTAGTGATAACCTCTTAGTCCTTTATTTTTTTTAAGTTTAAAAAAATGTTATGAATATCTTAACTTATAAGGAAAATGCCTTTTATGTAATTTCAAAGATCTTTATAAAATATTTTATTTATTTTTTATATATTTCATGTCACAAATATCATACATATTCATAATTTTTGTAAAGCATAAAACGTGCTTTAGTAGTGAGTAGTAAAATCTAAGTATAGCGCAACAATTGTACATCATTCTAAATTTACTACATAAAACTTAACATATTTACTATACTTCCTTATAAATTCAATACAATAAACATTTTTTAAACTACTTATAATACTCATTTTCTCAAAACACTTAAGTATCTACAATGTAAATATATTCATACCAAGAAGTTCATCTTCAATATAGTTTTGCTTTCTATTACATTAAATATTTATTCTTTAAATGGAAGACTCTCAATACTAAAGAAAATAGTTCTTAGTATTTATAATATACATATATTCAAAATGCTTTTTTTTCGATTGTGTTAATTTTTAATAAGCAATTTATAGAGGGTATATTTAATACTAATCTATCTCCAATTAATTACTAAGTACATATTATATTTTAGTGATTCTAAGATACTTTAGTATAAAGTGCTCTTCAGTACAAAGTTCTCATCTTCACAAAGGTACTTTAGTCATTTCCTTTTAATCAAGAGATTAACTGGCAAATATTGTTAGTATAATTGCTAACTACTTTAAATGAAATATGGTAAGATACTGAAGGAAAATAAATTAATTTTGAAACTATGCTGCAATTTTTATTTCATAAATTTTTTTTATAAATATTAAATACTTATATTTGTGACCAAAAATTATTATTATAATAATTTGTTACCGGGCTAATTGGTCAAATTTTAATATAAATAAAAAGACACTAATTTATTATTTATATTTAAAAATCGTTATATTTTATTTCCGATATTTCGACTATCTTCGATAGTCATCTTCAGGGAAAACTACACAAAATATAGGATGTTCACATTTTTATAGCGGATTATAAAGAAAAATCATACAATAAATACAATAATAATGATGACAACAAGAGAAAAAACAACAATAAAAATACAAAAGAAAAATTAAAATTATAAAAAAAATTTATAAAAAAAAACAAAAAAAGCTTTACAAACATCCTGTGTCATTTGTTTATAATATTCCTATAAGCCTGAGCACAGTTGTCCGTATCAGTTTTATAATTAAGTCTTATATTATTGGGCACTTGAAGTATTGAGAGCATTTCTAGAAAGTACCTCTTATTATGGTTCCTTTCTTCATATAAAATTTTTGCCTTATCAAAATCAGGTTCATTCATGAACATCCTATATTTTGTGTAGTTTTCCCTGAAGATGACTATCGAAGATAGTCGAAATATCGGAAATAAATTATAAACGATTTTTAAATATAAATAATAAATTAGTGTCTTTTTATTTATATTAAAATTTGACCAATTAGCCCGGTAACAAATTATTATAATAAATTTTTTTTGAAATTGTTTTTAAAATTTTAAAAATATTATGCAGTCACCAAAAGTTAATTCAAATTTCTAATAAACCTTCGCTTAAAAAAAAACCAATAATCTTTTAATAGTTTATTGTCTTTAGTTCCATAGTAAATAGGATTCACTATTTTTAGAAGTCAGTGGTCCACTTTAAGATGCATTATCATCGATCTCTCTTAAACGTACCATTGCCAATATGGCCATAATGCTTTCTAAACTAAGTTAGAACTTAAATAATTGGTATTTTGAACATATAAACTCTTATAAAGACATTTTTTTTAAAAAAACTAGTGAAGAATTTCTTTTGGCTGTTAAAAAATACTTCACTAACAGAATAATAAAAACAAATGAATTAATATAAAATATATTATAAATAAATTATTAAATTTTTTTTGATATAAAAAAATAAATATAAAATACCTATTATTTGTCTTAAAATAAAATAATTAGTTTAACTAAAGAACCACAATGAAGGATGTTAAAGTGGCAGTATATTAAACAATATTTTTCAACATAAACTTGCCTGATATATATATTTTAATACGTTATAAATAATTCTAAATCCTGCAAATAGTTTAAGCGTTTTTACAATTATTAAAAAAACCATACCAAGCTTACTGAAATTCAAAAATTATTGTACTAAGCGTGCTTCGTAGGAATTCAGTTTAGTCAGCTCTTCGACTGCTGCTTCCCTCAGTTTCCGTGACAGTGGCGGTACAAACAAATCGTAATCCACTTGCTTGCGCGCAGCGTTCAAGTAGATTTGTGTATTGTCGGCCAAATTTAGGAGCTCAAGCCATACACTGCAAGCATAGCCAACAACCAGCGTTATGATGAAACCAATCACAGAGAACCACAAATAGGATAGCTTGTACAACCAAAAATATTCAACTACAGGTGGCTTAGGAGTAGTGGTTATTATTGACAATGTTGCATTTATTGTGGTGTTAATAGCAGCTGTGCAGTTATCAACGCTAAGTGGCAATGAAGGTGGTGGTGGTTTAGGTCCTCCAAAACCAATCCAAAATGAAAACATTAAACCAATTAATAAACCCAGCAGCGCACCGCGTTGATTTGATCTCGTAGTGCACATTCCCAGCGTAAATAATGCCAATAAAGGTCCACCAACAATTCCAAATATTGTCAGAGATGCTTGAAGAACGCCACCTAGTGAACCAGCACCAAATGCTAAACCAACGCAGACTATGCCGTATAAACAGGCTATAATTTTTGATGGCAAAGTTGTATTCGAATCAGTCATAGGTCTTCTGAAGCAAACTTTATACAAAGGTTTTAGATAATCTTCCAATGTGACGGCAGCAAGAGAACTCACGGCTGAAGAAATGCTGGAGAGACTACCTGAGAATATGCCAGATACAAATAAGCCACAAAGTCCAGGATATTGACCTGTAAATAGAATTTGAAAGGTATACTAAATTAAAATTTAAAAAATATTAAAATTATATTCCGACGGGGCGCTACACTTCGTAAATTTAATATAATAATATTACAGTAAATTATATATGATAATATAAGTGAAGTTTGGATAATATAAAATGTGTCTATCTCTTAGCATCTTAAACTATATTCACTATTTGAAAATGAGCGATAATACCAGATCTTAACATATTATTAGAGGTTTAAATCTAAACTTCTTACAAACAGTAAAATCTTACTAAATTTGGTAAAAGCATATCTAAATTTGCTTACCCATTGTATCTATAGCGAACAGTGGCATTATTTGATCCCGGTATTTAATGCGACCCTCAAGTACTGGATCGCAGTTTCTGTAGTAATAAAATATAGCCAGACCGCTGAAAAGCGTGCTAAAACTTAAAGTACTCAATATTGGTAGATTCCACCAAAGTGCTGCTTGCGCACCTTTCAAGTCACGCACGCTTAATAAACGCTGTACTTGTGTCTGATTAACTCCGTAAAGCGATAGATATGTAACTATACCGCCAATAATTAAACTCCAAAATGTATGTCGTACTGTGGGATCTAAAGAGAACTCATTAATTTCCATCCGCCCACGTTCAACAGCAACATTCCAAATGGCACCTAAGCCTCCTTCAGCTTTAAGTGCAGACACTACAATTACTGA